CCAAAAGATAAAAATTAAGATCCAAGAGAGAGAAGCTGATGTGAGATGAAAGGGTAAGATAGGAGGGGGGGGAATAATAGATCACCAGGGACACATCATGACTTTATTTTTAATATATCCAGTAATGTTAGAAAGACCTTAACGATATGATTTTAACCACACCTTGAAATACTATCAAATAAGATTGTAATTAGTTAGGGGTTTTGTTTGGTGTTAATTTAGGTTTAATCACGATCCCATTTGATGGTCTTCCAAGTTATGGTCAGAATCATCTCGTTGAGATCTTTTTAATGATACCAAGTATGTCAAAAATGGATTCAGTGTGTCCCTGATAACTTATTTTTTATTTCCATTTTTTTACCCTCATTTTTCTCTTTTACCATATCACTTTATCTCCTCCTATTTTTTTTCATGGCCATTAGATTTTGAATCTTATCTTTTGGTGATTAGACCTTTATAAAATTTTGAGTTGATTTTTAAGCCCTGTTTGTTTAATGAAAAGTAGTTTTCTGAAAATTACTTTTCTGATCTTTCTTATATTTGTTTACTATTAGAAAAGTTGGTTAATAAAAAAATATTTTCTAGTCAAAAGAAAATTTGATTTGATTTTTAGGAAAGTGTTTTCCTTTTATTTTAAGTAAAAAACACTTTATAGAGAGTTATGAAAAAATAAAAATATTTTGTTATTTGTTAATTATATCAAATTTGTCTTTAGTTTTTTGATTGCTTTATATTTTGTTTTGATTTGTTTTTCAATTTCTTTCATTAAAACTTAATTTAATTAGATCTTTATATCAACTCTTCATTCTTTTAATTGTTATTTATTTTTCTCTCATATTTTTTTTTAATTGAAAATTTTTATTTATTACATTTGGTCCCTTTTTTTATTTATATGTATTTTATTTAAAATAATTTATGAAATTATTTTTTTTTAATTTATTCTCTTTCAATTTTTATATGTATCAAATTTAATCTTTGGTATATTAATTGCTATTTATTTTATTTAAAATAATTTATAAAATTAATTATTTTTATTTTATCTTTTGAAAATAAAGATAGTCATGCTTAGAATTGTTTTTATTAATATAGCTAGGGTAAGAGTTGAACCCTTTTTTTATACTAGTAGGGAAACTTTAACTTTTTTTAAAAAAAAAATTAATGGAGAATTGACATCAACACATCTACAGACAACCAGCTTAATTCAAGAACACGACCAATCTCTCTAAAAAAAAAGCTACAGTAAAAACACCTAGAAGCTTGAAACTGCAAAACAAACAATCTCAATCAATAAAATTCACGTCAAATACTTCTTTATCTAAAAACAAACACCAACTTTACAACTAAATTGATCAAATCCAACACCGCAAATAGAAATAACATAAATTTGTCTCTAATCTTTTCTTATAGAGAAACAAAAGGAAGAAAAAAAAGAGGTATAATTGGATGATACAATAAAATAATATGATAAAGAAAATTACATATTTTATTATTATTATATTTTAAAGACAACAACAATGTAAGATCTTGTTCTCTAAGAAATTAATGACATGTATTGAAGTCAATCTGTGATTAAATAAAAGAGTTGATGATTTGCAATAAAAAAAACATGCTTATCTACTCGAATAATAACTCTAAAGAACAAATCAAGTTTGTATGTCCATACTAAATTATAATCATGAGTTTTTGTTGATATGTCATGTAACTTTCATATAAATATGCATATGATATCAATTAATTATTTCTATTTTCTAAGAAGGATTGATATCTTACTCGTTAATTATTTTTACTTTTTAAGAAGGAGAAATTACAATATAAAAACTTAATCAATAAATAATTTGGGCAACAACCTCATGAAACAAAATATAAAGATCTAAGACCTTAAGAACAAACACGTTATATGCTCCAAAGCAACACTACATAAGAAAAATAATAGGTTTATAAAGAAGGAGGGATATTATAAGAATTAAAGTGTTGGAAAATAATTAGAAAAACTATAAATATAGCAAGAAAATAAATGTAATTGAAACTGGTAAAAAATATAATTTAAATTGCTTATATGGAGCTGATAATTTTTTATAGTAATTATAGCCCTTTATATATTAGTACAAAGTTTAAATCATATCTAAATATATAATTTTAACACTATACAAATATTTGTACCATGTAACGAGACTTTATTGAACCTTAATACAAGATAAATTCTTTCTATTTTGATACTAAGTGAATATTAAGCTAATCTTGTAACTTCTAATTAGTTGATTTTTCAAGAACTCTCTTTCTAAATGCAATTAAGCTTTCTCTCATTCTAAATGTAATTAAGCTTTCTTTTTCTTCATGCACGTATAATTAATCTTTTTGGTTCTTCACATGTGATTAACCTATTATGGTAATCTCTTTTATTTAATCAATCATGAGTTTTGAATGACTAATTCTTTGTTCTTCAAAACTCAGCCTATCAAGGCTTTTCCAGTGCGATCAATCCTACTATTCTCAATTTATTTCAGCTTTTTCCCTTGTTTTCTTGCGAATAATCATTGTTCTTACTTAAATAGCACGTGAAAGTTTATTTTTTATGTTAACATTATCATCATCATCATGTTGTTGTAAGGTTTTTATGGTTAAATCATTTGTTAAGATTAAAAAAGAAAAGAAAGAAAAGATAGGGTTGGTAGTGCTATTATTTTTGTTTCTCTTATTGTATGGGAGTAATAAAAGATTAGAAAAGTAGCTAAGAGTGCATTATATGACAATAATATTTTTATTTCCTTTTCGCTTATATATAACCCGATTAGATTTAGACTATATTTAGTAGGGTCAACTAAACCACTAAAAACTCGATCAGACGAAATGGCTTTTATCAGGTCAAAATCTTGGTTGGTTTAACTAGCAACCTGATTGGATCAAGCTCTTGGTCTCAGGTTTTGTATATCTAAATTTATAATTATACTTAGCAGACAAGATAAGGGAGACAACTTAAAAAGAAATGTCTAAAGCACCATTGATCAAACAAATACAAATAAGGCTTGCCATATAAAAGAAAAGAGGTTAATATTATAAGCAATATAATCAATGTATTATTCATCCATGATATGATTATTGTTAGCCAATAGAGATTAGATAAAAAAATAAATTATGCTAGAATAGTAAGGTTTTAATTTCAATATTTTATTTATGGAAATTAAAAAACTTATGATTTTGAAAACATCACATGATTTTGAAGTTTAACCTTGCACCTCTAATAGTATTCAAATAAAATTCATGCATGTCCTCCAAGCTCTAATGTAAAGTATAAACACCAACCTTATATCATTACAAAATCTCCCAACAATCATTAACTTTATATAATTGTAAAATCTCTTAATGGTATGTGATCAATGAGTTTAACACACAATGGTGTTTCACAACACTATACACATACTAAAATCAAGGAATAATTAAGAAAATAACTCAAAATAATAAGAAAAAAAAAGATGTACGAAAGGACCACAAATAATTTGGAAAAACTAAGAAATCAAGAAAAAAATAGTTTGTTAGCAAGTGGGGTACACGTTTTGGCCAGTTGTTATTGCCAATAAAGGTATTTTTATGATGGCTAGGTACATAACGGGTCTTGGCATAAAACTTACGACCTGTCACCACCATCATAAAGCAAAAGGATTCACCACCAACTAACAGGGGCAAATCAAGTGCTCAAAGTCGGATGCTCAGACTTCCTTCGTGCTATCGATTTACCATTCATTGGTGGTTGTTGCCACTATGATTATTACTTTTAGAGTGACTAATTTAGAGAGTTGTTGCATTCAATTTAGAGAGAGAGAGAGAGAGTTGGTATAATGTAATGATAATAACCGATTTTGGATGTGTGTGTGTGTATGTGAGCGCGCGCGCGTGTATATATATATATAGAGAGAGAGTGAGATAAAGAAAACCATCACTATGGTGGTTAAAAAAATAAAGGAAGACAAGGAAGGCTAAACTACTAGTTAGAGCTGATTTTTTTGGAATCTAATAAGAGATAATAAGAAAAAGAGAGAGATAGATTTAAGTTTTTCATTCCTTTTCTTTTCCTCCCTTTTTATTTATGATCGAAGCTATACTTGTTCAAACTTGATCAGAGATAACAATAAAAAGAAAAAAAAAAAGGAAAAGATTTTTTTTTTCTAGTTTTTCTCTTCTTTTTTTTTATTTATGGATGCTATTTATATATAAATACGTAAGGTAAGATGTAAAACTAGATGGATTTATAGGTAGATTCATCCTTATCTTTATTTAGAGTATTTTGATCAAATTATATCCATTTTATTCTAAATGCCTTATGTTTATGTATGTAAATTATATCCATAATTAAAAAAAATTATATGAAATGCAATTTTTTACATCTTAATTCTTATAAAAATAAAGGTATTAAGAATAAAACATAACGTCATCTTTAAAATAAAGGTCACTATCATCTTAACAAATATAAAATTATTATTATTTTCAATGTATTATCATTTTCAATGTATTATCTAAGATATAATTTATCATCTAAGCAAAGGGTTTTTTTTTTTGTTCGCATCATTTTCTCTTTTAACCTAAAAGTCTCTCCTTGATACCTAATAAGTCATTCAATCTAAAATATTAATAAAAATTAAAACTAAATATTTATTTTCTACTATAAACATTTAACTCAAAATCCTTCATGATTGAAAGAAATTTTAAGATTTTTAGGTAACAGTTAAAAACAAATAGGATGATTTTTTTAATTATTGGTTTTTTTACAATGAACTTGTTACCTTTTTACATGATAATCCATACACCATGTGCTTTATGATTCTTGTTTGGATTGCAGAACAAATTTAAACTTCTCCGTTGTTATAATTTAAACTTGAAAATAATCTTTTTGAATCTTGAACTCCTCATGAAAGTTTTAGGTATATATCTTAACCTTCCATTCATATAAAACAGATCTAAATCTAAGTTTTATAACTTCAATTATGATCTAATAACCAAACAATACTTCAGTTCAAATCACTCGTAAACAACAAGGACAAGCAAGTCAAACACTACGCATCAAAATTTCAAGATTGATTAAGGTAATCCATCCCTCACCACCCAACAAGTAGAAGTTTCAAGAGAGCCATTCTGATATAGAGACCATTCTTCGCTTGCCTAAAATATGCAGCCCTTGGATCAGCATCAACATCAACAGTTATCTAAACAACAACAATGAGAGGGAACAAATAAATCAACAGTTAAAAATTGCTAACGAAGAACGCTTTCAAGTGTAATACCAGGACCAACCAATTAAAATACCCATATTTACCTCGTCTAGCCTGGGGAGAGGATGCATGACCACAGCATGATTCTGCATCACATTTAACACATTATGATCCACAATGTACTTTCCCCGAGCTTCTTCATAAAGGTCAATTCTCTCCCCAAACCGTTCTCGCTGAATACGAGTTTGATATAAAACATCACACTTCGAAGCAACTTCCATTAGATCGGCACTTTCTTCCCATTCAACTCTTTTTGATGTCAGATAATCTTTTATGTCATCCTGAGGAAAAATAATATAATAATAATAAAATGTAAAAAACCCAAACTCAAAAAATGTCCATTACAGTTCCCCTTAATCAACAGCATTTCGATCAGGTTTGTAAAAACAAAACGCTAGTATTTATTTATTTTTGGGGAGGGGGGGGTGTGTGGAGATAAGTTCTATTACCTTCATTTTTACCACATCAGGAGAGACAAAGTATATCTTCACATCTTGGTATTTGGCAAGCAAATAGGCAAGTGAGCGGACTGTCCTCCCATTAGCAAGATCTCCCACAAGTGCAACTTTAATACCATCCAGTTTCCCTATCTCTCTGTCGATAGTGTATACATCCAAAAGAGCCTATAGCATTATAAAACAAAAATTAAAACAATATCAGTAGAAACAAAAGGCAAGAAACTTAATTGTACTTCAAGAGCACATGTTAAACTGCCATAGAGTGTATTGCTGAAGCAACCGGGCATACTTTTCAAAGTAACACTTACTGACACTACAGCTCTAGGTCATTAGCCACATGCAGCACCACATATTATTCACACAATTAACAGCTTTTCTGGACAATAGTTCACTGGTTGACTACAACTTATTTGGAAAAGGAAAAGTGTTGATCAATTGCTTAGACAACTTATGATTTTATTTTATATAGAAGATTAAAAAACTCCAGATACATAAGAAAATCTTATTATTGTAAGAGTAAACAAGGGATTGTAATAAATCCCTATACTATATCAATTTGGTCAGATAAGCCTCTCTAGAAAAAAAGAAGAAAGAGACAAAAAGAGAGAGAACATTGACCACTCTATAATCCAAACATGACCATTTTCAGCCTATTTTCAATGGAAATAGGACACATGTCAACATCTAATTGGCCAGCAACCGATTAACTAACATGGTTCAATTAAGAAAAATGCTCCAATTCATGTCATAGAGGGGTCAATTATAGTCTTTTTATTAAGGGCCTGATCTGACTAGAACAATATGGTACAAAGACTTATAGTGATTTTTATCGGGTAAACAAGTTTATTTCTTCCTCTTGTTTTGATTTTGTGGGGTCCATCATTCTACATAAGAACAAAATTTGCTACAACCATCCATAATCACTTACTAGCAATACCATTAGTAGTAGGTTCAAAGTATACAGGACAAACTCGGAGTAATATGCTACGAAATCCTCAAAAGAGAAAAATGAAATGAAAGAATAAAAAAAGAAACAAAAAGCATGCACATACAACATTACAAAGAAGTAGCACAATTTACTACTCCACATAACAAGGCCTTCTACACAACCAAACAATTACCATCTTCAAGTCACACATGAGAAGAATGAAAGGTGAATTGTGGACATGAAAGCTGAATGTCAGATTACTCAATTAAGGTAACTTCTCCATTAGCAAATTCTTTAATTTTACACCAACTTTATCAAACAAACGTGTTATTCAAGTACTGAACAAACAACTGTTTACAACTTTCCAATCTCATACACATAACTTGGGCATTCATTCATCCAGAGGATGAACCTCTGTAACAAACTGCCAACGAAATAATCAAATTTCCAAACAAGTGTTACGTTATCACTGTAAAGAGGGTGTAAAGTTACGCGAACCTGGGTGGGATGCTGTCCAGGCCCATCTCCTGCATTGATAACAGGAACTTCAGCTGTTGCTGCAGCTCTTTTAGCAGCACCACTTTCAAAATGGCGCATTACAATAATATCTGAATAGCCTTCAACAGTTCTAATAGTATCTGCACAACTTAAAATCCTAAAACAAGTGACGAACCAAAGAAACAATCTCCAATTTGGTAGTTGAAATTTTTTTAATGAAACTGAAACAATTACCCTCAAGAGTCTCTCCCTTGGCTGCGGACGAAAACTCCCTCGCATTTTCAGTTGTCAAAACTTCACCACCTAGCCTTTTCATTGCAGACTCAAAAGAAAGCCTGGTACGAGTAGAAGGCTCGTAAAAAAGAGTAGCCATTAAATACCCCTTAAGGACTTGACTCCCAGGAGAATTCTTCTCAACCTTTTCCATCTCACGAGCAACTTCAAATATATCAGCTAGAATTTCCCTATCAAACTGCTGCGCCTCAATCAAATCATCAAGTTGAAACTTTTTCCCAGCTGAAAACGAAGGTGTATTCTGAATTCCTAATAATTGGCTATGGATTCTACTCCTCATTGACAACCTTCCATTCTGTCTAGATACTGAAAGAAAATATTATTTGGTAAATAAATCAGACTAATTTGCACATTAAAAATCAGAGAATTCTCCTCATTGGCATCAATAAATAGAACCCACATGATAAAGCCAAAAAGATTACATTAATTAATTAATTAATACAATAGAGATCAAAAACCCAATTCAAAGATCTTACTCCAAATTCTGAAAATAAAAATTGAAATGATTAAATAAATTAAACTGAAGATGATAAGAGCAAGCAAAGAAATAGCTATTGTCAAACCTTAGGAGGAGAGATGTAGAAAATAAGATTTTGTTATGCTGTTGCTGAGAAAAGAAGATAGGGTTTTAGGGAGAGACAAAGTATGAGAAAGTTGGGTTTTTAATGAAAAGCAAGATCTCTGGGAAAAGCAAAATTATAGCAGTACTAATTACAAACGGCAAATGAAAATCTTATACTATGAACATTTGCTTCTTATCATGTTGAGAGAGCAATCTATCTGTTTAAGGTCCAAATTCACCATTTATTTTGAATTCAACGACCTACATTATCATACATACACATATTGAATCTCAAGTTTTTTAATAAGCTCTAGCGATTTATCATTTTTTTTCCTTTTTTGATCTTTTAGACATTTTTCTTGATTTTGGAATTGACAAGTAGGATATATGAGTTTTTAAGTTGATAATATCAAGATTACTAACAAACTGATATTTGATTAAAAATTAATTACACAAGTATTATTATTAAACACAATTCCTATAATAAAGATAATTATACTAATTAGCTAACTTTTAGAATTTACTTAATAAAACTTAGAAAAAATAGCTATATGCATGCACATATTATTCTCTATGACTTTCATTTCCTCAATGTTTAGGTACGCTCTCTCTAACTATCATTTTCTTCATTTTTCTTTATGAATTTTATTCAATACAAAATTACGTTCATTTTATTTTATTTTATTGTTTTGAGTATCTATTTCCTCTGCTTTTTAATTACACATTGTGTGTGATTTTATTTTTTTAATTATAAATAGTGTTTAATTCATTGATATGTTGAATTAAGTCTATAGGTTTTCAATAAATTAAAATTATTAACAGAGTTTTTAAAGTGAAAAGAGTTTGTTTTCATACGTATTGGTCATTATATATGAACAAAAATTATTAAAAGAAAAATGCCGCAACGTGTGAGTTATCAACAAGATAAGTAATAAAAAGGAAATACTTAAATATATCTAACATATACTTGATATTCATTCATTTCTAATTTAATAATTTATATTTGACAAACATGTCAAAAAGAAAAATAAGGGCATCTCGTTCCAAATCTAGAATTCTCTAACCACTGATTTGATGCTACAATTCATATCACTCTGGGATTGTTTGGGCTAGGCACTTTCACTCTTAAATTAGGAGAAACAATATACTTGAGAGTTAAGATGTAATCTTCAAACCAATAAATAAATCGTTTGAAATCAAAATGAAAAATAAGAAATTCAAATGAAAGTTCAATATTGTGTTTAAATTAGTAATAAAGAAAAGGAATGAAATGACATTTTAAAGATTTTAATATTTATTTTATAAAATGAATAAAAGTAATGATATTAATATAATTTCATCAGCAATGAAGACATCAGCAATAACATAGTTGATTGTGATGATGAAAGAAGCGGCAGTGGTAGCAAAACATTAATGGTAATAACAGTATAGCAATAATAATAATATTTAAAACAATAAATAGTAATAATATATTTGTTTATATCCAAAATAAACATCTTCCAATAATTAAGTAATAAGGTTTTTATTATTCGAGGACCAAATCTGAATATTCAAAAAATAAAGGACCAAATAAATGATAATGACAAACCTAATTATAATTGGATTGTTCAAGAATAGAAAACTAAAGCAATCGCGCAAATCCTGCACTTCGGCGGTAGGGCATTCTTTTCAGAAAGTTTTTATTTATTGCTAGGGCATTCTTTTCTCTTGGCAGGGTGGCGCGGCGCTAATTATAACCGTCCATTTTTTAGGGTTTTAACTATTCACAGGACCGGCCTATAGCATATGCCCTAGTCACTTTGATATTATCGCCAACATATTTTTGTTTTGCCCAAAGATCTTTTTCAAAACCAACATGAAAAAAAAAAAAAAAAAGCGCTGATAATCAAAATGATTTAGGGCTTAACACATAAGATTTAAAAACAGAATTCATGTCAGTCAGTCAGTCAATCAAAATCAAAGATGCACCGAACACGCAAAGCAAATCAAACTAAACAGATTAAATCCAAGGCCCCACATCCCAGCTTCATTGCGAAGCCATCTCATTGAACCGTTGCACCCAGCAATTTAAATAATTTTAAAAAATACATATAATCAACAACTTAAAAATTGTACAAAAAAGGCGATGGAAGCATGAAACTAACCTCCAAAAACAGTCGACGCCAAGCTGAAGGGCTGGTGGCGGGTGGCTTGCACGTTGCAGCCAAGTACTGTCGCCGGCGGTGAGCTTCCGCTAA